TACTATTCTGCACTTTATTTTATGTCTGTGCATTAAGTTTTAAGGAATTGAATGAAACCCACTTGCATATACCCTTATCCTATGAGTCTTACTAGTATAGCAGGATCGTATAGATTCCTATGCTATAGGATCCGGTAGAAATCGAGTGATTGTCTGTCACTCACGAGAGATAGAAAAGATACTATTATTGTCATTGTTATACTACTATCACAATATATATATATATATATATATATATATATATATATATATATATATATATATATATATATATATATATATATATCGAATGATAATTGAGACCGGGTGAAATGGTACTTGATCTCGACTTGTTTAGGCATTCGAGTGAGGCTCAGTTGCACTTGTTCCTGTGTGTTTATTGAGGACCGTCCTGTTCTTTGTGAATGGTAGTCGTCATGACTTATTATCTTGAACACATACTTGCTTATGGGGCGGGGAGACTTATCACTCTCTTGTCATGGGTTCCGGCTTTTTTGGACCGACTTTTGGGGGTGAGTATTAGGTGGAGTTCTAAACACCATACTGAGACCGGGTCTCAGGTGTTGGAGGCTTGGAGGCCAAGTTTGGACGGGGATCTGGACCCCTTGATAGGAGTGGGACGAGTTGGTTCTGTTTGTGCCTGTGATACAAGCGGGGCGTGTGTTTCGGGGTACCCAGCTGTGATACATTTATTTGCGAATCGTCGTTTCTTGAGACGGTACCGACTTGGCTATGGTCTAGCACCGTAATAAGAACTGGGATTTGAAAGGTGATAAAATGATTATGATTGCTTACCACTTACTTGAAAGTAGCATAGGAGCTTACCTAGAATGATTAGCTAATTAACTACAAACAACTAAACTTGGAACATAAGGAAGCACTATTAATAATGCTTCCTCAAAAGACAATAAAACAAAGAAGTCAAATAGCATTGCATATCCTTGAGTATCTTATTTTCTCCTATCGGTAAGTCTTGCTGAGTACAATTGAGTACTGTGGTTTTATTCCACATTGCGGTGTGATGTGTGCAGTTGAGCTACACTTGTGTGTGGAAACCTCTCGTGGGCTTAGTGGGGATTTTCTCCGTTCGTTGTTGACGTAGGTGTTTATTTAAAAATTTATGAAAATATTTTACAAAGGAAAAAATTACAACCTGTTATCATCTCCTTGTATTTAAAGGTTCCTCGTAAAGCTCTTAAAATTGTAGTTTATGAATTTTATTTTCATTTGAAACTCCGACACATGTACAATTCCGCTATTGTTTTATGTAATGTAAGAAATGGCGAAAAGATGTAAACTTTATACTCTCATTTATGATCCCGATTTAAAAAATGTGGAGTTTTGAGTTCTTTCACGGGTGTGTTTGATGTAATTGCAATAGTGTAGTGTCATTGCTTGAGTACTCAAAGGTGTCTAATAAAAGATAAATATTCTTGAAAGAGTATTAGATTAGACGGTTGTGCCACGCATCGAAAGATAAATACTTTTGAAAGAGTATTAGATTAGACAGTTGTGCCACGCATCGAGCCCGTGACGAGCTCTCCAGTCCGCCATTGGAATATCTTGACTCGGAGTGGAGCCCAATGCAAGTCTTCCAAATTAGCCGGTGACCTCTCAACGTAATTGCGTCGCTATGAAGCATGGCGTATGCAGACTTGGCCGAGTATGTACCATCAGGTGTCCATCGCCAAACTAGCCTGTCCGGCTGATCGCTCAGGTTGATCTGTTCCAGGATGTTCCATAGCTCCAGGTACTCCTCAATAGCGGATTGGGAAAGACCGCCGGAGATGACGCGCGCCCATTGTCAGTTAGTTAGCGCCTCCCTTACTTATTGCCGTTGCCGGACTTGGTTTGGGACTAGCTGGTAAAGGTATGGAGCGAGGTCGCTAATGGCATCCCCCTCGATCCACTTGTCTTCCCAGAACAAGGCCGTTCGACCATCTCCGATCATGAAGTAGGTTGAAGCCCGGAAGAAGGCCTTAACCTCGGGAGCTGTTTTGATCGGCAGTGAGCTCCACGCCCGATCTTGATCTGTCTTTTCTAACCAGAGCCATCGAGTTTGCAGTGCGTACCCCTGTAGCTTCAAGTCGCTGACGCCCAGACCGCCTAGCTCTGTTGGCTTGCAAACCGTCAGCCAGGCTACCATACATTTCCCACGGACAGAAGCGTCACTGCCAACCCAAAGACACTTCCGGCATATGGCATCAATTTCCTTCCTTGCCCAGGTTGGAAGGTTTTCTGCCATCATTGCATATATTGGGACTGCGCGCAGCACTGATTTGATCCATACAAGACGTCCACTTCTTGCCATGAGTGAACCATGACAGGGGTAGCTTCCTTGCCACTGCCTCAACGACTGACTGAAACTGCGCTTTTGGAATTGGCCTGATGCTCAGAGGGAGGCCGAGATATTTGAGTGGGAACGGCTGCACTTTACATCCGAGTATGTTGATTATCTCTTCCAAGGCGTCTTCACCACCATAGATTGGAGTAATGGAGCATTTGGCCAGGTTGGTCTTTAGGCCGGAGGCTTCCCCGAAAATGGACAGAATCTCTTTCACCGCTTTGCCTCCTGGACGATTGACCGGATGAAGAGGATCACGTCATCAGCGTAGATGCTGCACCGGTATTTGATCTCCGGCAGCTCTACTCTTCTGAGTACCCCATCTCTGCATGCTTGAGGAAGAGCCTATGCAGGATGTCCATAGCGATAACGAAGAGCAGGGGCAACAGGGAGTCTCCTTTGGCGTACCCCTCTGAGATGTGCTATTGGAGGCCCCTGATGTCCATCTGGGCGAAGCCGTGCTTAGTAGGGTCGCTATCCACCTCCGCCAAGTAGCGCCAAAGCCAATATTCATATATTTTAGCGAGTAGGACATCTGAATAGGAGTAAAGGCTAATTGAGGCGAAATTAGGCCTCCACTCCTTTGTCCTATCAACATTTTACAGCCTGTTCGCTTGCTCGTAAACGATCGTAAATTTCTAGCTGGGAACAGTGTTTTTCTCTCACACCAAACCAGCCAGCAGTAAATAATCCACGATACGATACGGCCTCCCGAACAGGCTGTTAGCTAGTGACTAGTGTTCTTCTTGTCCATCAAGATAACGCCATAAACAATCTACCGACGTTAGAGCATCTCCAAGAGTTTTCTATTTTTTTCTCCTAAAAACTTATAGTTTGGTAACTCCTAAAAAGATTGGGGGAGGAAAAAAGAAGGTCATCTCCAAGAATTTCTAATAAATGACATCTAAAAACATCTACGTACATCGCACAAGCCAGTGAGCAGTGAGTGAGTGTGTCAGAGACTGATTGGAGCAAGCAAGGAAGCAAGCAAGGCCTTGTTTAGATCCCATCAAAATTCCAAGTTTTTTCACTCTCTCTCCATCACATCAATTTTTAGACACATGCATGGAGTATTAAATGTAGGTAAAAAAAATAATTAATTGCACAGTTTGATTGTAAATCACGAGACGAATCTTTTGAGCCTAGTTAGTCCATGATCGGACAAAGTTTATCAAATACAAACGAAACATGCTACAGTGTCCGGATTACAAAAATTTGCAATCTAAATAAGGCCCAAGCGTGCCAGTGGGGTACCTGAACGCCGGACCAGCCCTTTTGGCGACGCTGCCGGCTTACCGGCTGTCGACTTTGTTGGCCCACGCCACAAAGACGCGCCGCCCGTGGGCGCTGCGTCGAAGAAGGTCTTGACGCGCATACGCGGGTCGTAGTCCGCCGCCGCCAGCGCGCACGTCGTCGTCGCTGCTTTCGCCGCTCGCCGCAAGACGAACGCTTCGCCACGCCGTCGCATCGCCCCACCATGTAGTAGTCCCGGGCGTGTACATCACGCGCGCAGCACGCACCGCACCCTGCCGCCGCCGCCGACGCGTCAAGCCCGGCGTTATCACCGCGCTCAAGCACCGGAACAGTCCGAGCACTCCACCATGCCATGGGCGCGCGGAGGCTTGCAAATGCGGTAGCGGTGGGTGGCGCGCTCCCAGCGGAGGAAGTCCGCGCTCCCCAGACACGGCGTGGATGCCACGCCGCGGACCTCGGCGGACACCGCGACATGCCACAGCCCGTCGTCGCCGAGGGAAGGATACGCGGAGTCGGAGGTGCGCGCAAAGTTACGTGGATTGGCTTGGCTTTTTCGAAGTGCCTAAATTTTAGGAGTCAAGATTAGGAGTTGTTGGAGAGTGGTTTTTCTCCATCTTTCTAAAAAAATAAGAATTAAGAGGGAATTTAGAAAACTTTCGGAGATGCTCTAAAACACCGACTACACTAGGTGACCGTGAAACGCCATGGTCACACGGAGGTGGATGGCGCATCCCTTGAACTACCTTAGTTTGATAGGCTCTTGAGTGAACTTTACTCCCTCGGAGTGTCACTATTAGTTGCTAGTCTTGTACTTTTGGTTGCTATTTTTTTATGCTAAATTTGCTCGGGACACATTTGTTCTTATGGAATTATTATACTTGATCTTAAACTCTATGGGTAATTCTTTCTAGTCTAGCTAGTCTCGATCGACTTAATTTTGGTAAACCTATGCTTGCAGGGATTACATGTCGTAACCTTATCTTCTCCGTAGTAAGGCCCCGTTTAGATCCAATTTTTTTTTTTTTTTTGGTTTTGGCTACTGTAGTACTTTCGTTTGTATTTGGTAATTAGTGTCTAATTATGGACTAATTAGGTTTGAAAGTTTTATCTCGCGATTTCTCACCCAACTGTGCAATTAGTTTTTTTTATCTATATTTAGTATTTTACGATGTCTTAGTAAAATTCGATGTGATTTGAGGTTTTGGGAACTAAACAGACCCTAAAACGTGTTTGCACGGGCGCGGAGGAGAAAAAAGACAGCCTACTCGCACCGGTTTGGTTTATGAACCGTTGGACTCGAACCCGACTAGCATCGACTCAGCTGCCACCTCGCCAGTCCTCCCCTCACCTTCTTGCGCCGGAAGAAGGAAACGCCGGCGATTCCAACCCCAGCCAGGCGGAGATGGCGGAGCCATCGGCCTCCTCCGCGGCCGCCACCGCCGCCGCGGAGCAGACGGACGCGGAGAGGATGGATGCCCTGGACCGGATGCTCATGCGGCTGGCCCTCGCCGACGACGCGCGCCTCGCGCCGGTGCTCGCCCGCGTCCTCCCCTACGCCGTCACCTCGCTGGCCTCCCCCGCGCCGGCCGTCCGAAAGCTCGTAAGCGCACCGCTCTTGTCCCCTCTCCTCCAGTCCTTACCCGATCCGGATTTCAGTGAGAGACATTCGTGCCGCTCGTCCTATTCCCCTCAGTTGGTTTAGTTGGTTCCTTCGTGATGTTATGTATTGGATATTGCTCATGGGGTGACATGTGAGAGAGAATTTTTTAGGTTTGGGCGTGGCACAACTGAGAGCGTTGTACCTATTATGTCTGCGGCAGTTGCTTCTATTAGTTTCTTCAGAGGGAAATTGCTTGTATTATTAGTGGCTGGCTCATACAATTACACGATTAACACATTCTCTGTAGTCTTAGCTGTTTATTTTGTACTAGGACTACTAAAAAAAATACTTGGCCTCCTTTCACGTGGTGCCCTGCTACTAGCCTACTAGTAGTCACTAGTCAGTACTATATTTTTTTTGGTTTAAGTTTTGTATGGGCCTTTCTAACGTTATGTGGTTTTATTTTGGGGTTCATTAGGTTATGGAAATTCTTAGTCACATTAACAAAAGGGTGAAGCACAGGCCTGAGATTTCATTGCCAATGCTGGAGTTATGGAAGATCTATACTGAATCTACTTCCGCAACAATGGTCCGAAACTTTTGTATCATATATATTGAGATGGCGTTTGAACGCCTGCCAACCGAGGTACTCTCTTTTCCTTTGCTAGTCTCTAGTTTTCTCTAGTGCTGCTTCACCATTTCTGCAAAGTTGATTGTGTCAACTTACCATTCTGTAACAGGAGAAAGGGAACATCGCACCTGATCTTTTAATCAATATATCAAATGTTCCAGCCCAGCATCAAGGGATCATCTTGAGACTTGTAACAAAGGTCACCTTTTTATTGAATGTCTTGTAAAGTGCTGTTTGTATCATCCTTTTTTTCCTTTGCGTCTCTACATTCTGTAGCACTCGCATGTTTTTTCCTTACAAAAATTGCATCTATATTAGTCAGGCTATTGGCGAATGTAACACCCATAAGGTGGACGAGACTATTGCGTCAAAATATCAAGTAATAACTGAAACCAAGGATGGTCTAGTATTTGCTGAATTCTGTTTTCACACATTATTGTATCAAGCACCACCTCAAGGGTATGTATTCCTTGCTAAATTAGGTAAAACCATAGAACACAATTTGAGCGTCGGACATTTGACTGCTATTGAATTGTACAGTACTGGATGCCCAGCAGGACTGTCAGTTGCCCAATCAGAACGTGTCACCGGAAAACAACCCCTAAAAATCGACGTACTTGCATCAAGAAAGGTAATTAAAAATGTGTAATCATGTCTGCACAAGTGCATATACATATTTTAGTTGTTACTACCTGCACAATGCGCTTGGTCTTCTCATGGTTGAATTTCTTGTTCAATCTCTTCAGCTAGGAATCTTGAATGTCATTGAAGCTATGAACTTCGCACCTGAGATTGTGTACCCTCTTTATTTATCTGCTTCTTCAGATAGGTATTCTATTTTAGAATTTTGTCTAAAATATATTGGAATTTTTACGTGGACCGATAATCATGCTAACCACTATCTTAGTACAGCCAAGAGCCAGTTTCTAAGAAAGGAGAAGAGTTCTTAAAGCGCAAAGCTTCAACAGTAAATTTAGAAGATCCCAACCTTATCAAGAGACTGTTCACACTGTTCAATGGTATGTACTTTGCATTTTCTTGGGTTTGGATCAATGCGGTTTAAATTTCAATTCGAGTACTTTTACTATGTTCGTCTCTTGCCATCTATGTGGTGTGTAAGTCATTCCACATTTAGTCTGAATGCTTAGATGGGTTTCTATCAATTGTTGTTGTTTTAATTGTGGTTTCATTTCTTTTTTACGTGTTGGTTTTTATGGTCCATTGGAGAGAATGCATATGTGAGTGGATGATTGCAAACCTGTTCTCATGATTATGCAGCCCTTCTTGAACTCCCAAACCCGCCTTTCACAAGTATGTGTACCCATATAGATGCCTACATATGTCCACACAATTGGCTACCCACTGACATGGTTGAATGCCAGCATGCTGAACACATGCATAGTTGAATGCTGTGCGCACTTGTGTCGGCACTTCTTATTCTTCTTTGCCATTAAGAAATTGATAGTTCCATTGCATGTGACCCTTTGTGTTTTTATCTGTCACTTTCTATCTAAATATTTTGTGGTAAGTCTTGCTCCATGATAATGTTCTCTTGTGAGACAGGTACTGTGGGTGCAGAAAATATAGCTGCAGAGCTGAAAGTTTCCCCAGCACATGCTTCGCTTCTGTATATGCGGCTTATGAGCGCTTTTCTGCCGATCAGTTGCTACAGCAAATGCATTTCCACACACTTCAATGCATCTTCGGCTGCATCTACGGTATTCTGTTTTGTACCCCACCTTTTTTAGTTTGCGCTTAATTGGTCTTATCCTTCTGATGCCTAATTGTTACATTGTAATAAGATAGGTTGTTAGTAACTGTAGTTTTTCCATACTTTATATTTATATCATTAATGAGCTGCATGTCTATGTAAGCCACTGAAATGTTTTTCCAATGTTTTGTTTTGAAAATTTCCTTTTCTTTTGGCGCCAATGTCTTTTTCAAAAAAAAAAAACTCCACTAATTTATGGGAAGAATGTAACCTAGTAACTTTTGTCTTACTGAAACTGAACATAGATGTGTATTGAAGATGAAGCTGATTTTTTTGGTTGATGTTTCACTGTGTTTTTGTTTTCTACCCTAGTCATATGGAATAAACTGCGACATCTTACACAACACTACTTTAATCAAGGGTCATGGTCAACTGAGATTCAGACATTTTATTAATTCTGCTCAAGGATCATGCTCATCGTGGTTCCAGAAAGCATTTCCGCTGCCCTCGATGAGTTAGTGTTTGGTCTTTGTTGTTCTTAATGAGATTATGCACTGGCATTTCGAACTCATATTTTTGTGAACCTATTATTACTAATAACTCTGTCTCCCCATTCTTACATTTCATTGTTGGTAGAACCATCCTTTTGCTGTTTCTATAAGATAATAACTTGTTGGTAGAACCATCCTTATGCTGTTTCGATGAGGTAATAACTTAACTTCACCATTTCGGTATGTTACTAAATCCGTCTTATCTTTCATTGTGTTTCGCCTGTAGGAAGTGGAACTACTTCAAGGCTGAAGCAGTTAGGAATGGAGTTCACTGTCTGGGTTTTCAAACATGTATGTATGTGCACTTCGCATGTTCTAACAAGGAGTAGCTAAACTTCTAGAATTAGTGACTTATTCTGTTGCTTTTAATTTGGCCACCTATGGTAATTCTTTTGCTCCATTTTTAAACTAATGTAATTTATGATGTAATTGTTAATTTAGGCAGTATCTGACCAGCTAAAGTTAATCGGTCCGGTTATACTTAGTGGAATATTGCGCTCCCTTGATGGTTCTTCAACTGCGAAACAGGTCTTTCAACTATTTATCAGCTTTATCTATTCAGATCTAAATGTGGTTTATCTTTGATTTTTTATGGTTTGTTGAGATAATTGTTGATGGCCAAATTTCCAATATTGAAATGATTGAAAAACATTGAACATGTATTGATTTTCTTCTCCTCCAGATTCTTCCGGTAGAGATACCAAAATATTTGCATACCAGGCTATTGGTTTGCTTGCCTCTCGCATGCCAAATTTATTCAGGCATGATATTTTCTTAAAACTTTCTTGGCTCTTGTTTCATCTATGTTATATTAAGGAATGACATTTCTACCTCTCTATTATATTGCAGTGATAAAACTGACATGGCTATACGACTCTTTACTGCTTTGAGATTGGAGGATCAATCTCTTCGTTTGACAATTCAAGAGGCGGCTACTTCCCTTGCTACAGCATATAAGGTAACTCTGGAGAGCATGTTGCTTTCTACAAAGTGTGCTTCACAAAGATGATTTTAAATTGTAATTAATTGATCATTTATACAGTAATTTTTTTGGTTTAAATGGTTGATGCAACTTGTAAATGCTAGATTATTGTAAATGGTTGATGCAAAGAAGTCCATATTAAAACCTTTTGGAGGCAAGGAGACTTCAAAATATGTCTAGGCAGTTTCCATTTTTGAACTTCTGATCTACTCTCAGAGACCTTACCTAGTTACCTTAATAATTAATATTGTTACCCCAACTTGTTTGGGACTTAAAGGCTTTGTTGTTGTTGTTGTTGTTGTTACTTTGATAATACTTAGGTCCTGTTTCGATGTTGTAGTTTTTAGAGACCAGAGATATGCAAAACCACTGTTTTGCAAAAAGATGTCTAGAGTAGAGTTTCTATAACTCCAAAAGGCTACAGTTTTAGCAGTATCATGTTTTTCAAAACTACAAGGTTTGTTGTATGCAAACACCTCAAAGTTTTCTGAAACTAATGTATTTCGTAAAACCATGGTATTTTTTTCGTCTAAAACTCCAAAAATACTTTGCATCCAAGCCTTAGGGTTCACAATTACATATCAACCCAGTGGCATTTCATGTGTGTTGGCAACCCTTTATGCTATTGCTCGCAAGTAATAAGTGAGCTTCAATACATTAGAATGTAATTGATGCTTATCTAGCAGGATAAGTGTTTCACAAAAAAAGTATATTTTAGTGTGCACATAAGATAGAAACAACATAAAACACAGATTTTCTATCATCCAGAACAGAACCAATAGCAATTGGGTACTGTGTTTTCATTTTGCAACATTTTTGCATAGCTTTGTTCTATTTGCTGCATCATGACTTTACCATGATATCTATGCATCCAATTTTTCTCCAGCTTTAACTAGAGAATTGTCAGTTAAGTTTATTCTCTTTTTTCTTGACCTTAATATCAGCGTGCTTCAACGATAGTACTGAAGGATCTTGAGGCGCTTCTTCTGGAAAACTGTGAAGCGGTAAAGTTGTTCTTAACATCATAGGTTCTCAAACCACTATTGTGCTAGTCCTTTGTTCTCAACATTTATATATGGTTTCATCATTGGTGATAGTTTTGAATGCAAATAAATTTTAGTATGAGGGCCGCAAGTTCAAAACCTAAGTCCATGCTTTAGGAACTTGAAGGAAGGCCCATGCTCCATTTGCTAAACAAAAGTGCAATTATTCAAAACAATCTGTAAAGCTCATTACCTGATGTATCAGGTGAATATTGCAAAATAACCAAGTAAATTTATCCAGGGTTATTGACCAGTTCATGTGAATAGAAAAGCACCTTCTCTTCACCAAATCAGTTTGATTTTCTGAATATGATATTTCGATTTAGATTTATTCCAGCCACTAGTACTATTAAAGTATTATGCAAAAGAAGTTAAAAGTTCAAACAGCTGGTCTCAGAACAAATTTCTGACCAAGTTTTTACTTCAAATAACCATGCCAAATTTTTAGTATTAGGAGAGGTTAAAGATTTTAGTTTTTAGTCTGAGATATGCTCATAGCCACCTAGGCAAGAAGTCAGATTTTTTATCCTTCAACTATGGCTCAAATTCTCAGTTTAGATCTCATCTTTGGAGTCGAAACATAACTTTTTCCCACCCTTTTCTAAGATCACAAGTGCATTCGTATCTCATGTACAGCCTTGAGAACTTAGTGCATTCGTATGCTCTTATTTTAAATTTTGCATAATTGCTTGATCTTGCACATTTTTGTTATATAATTTTTTGAATTTTTTTCTCAATCAAGGAGCAAAGTGAGGTTCGCTTTTCTGCTATAAGATGGGCAACAACATTATACGATACACGGCACTGTTCAAGCCGGTATATTTGCATGATTGGGGCTTCAGATGTTAAACTGGACATAAGGTTGGTTACAAAAGATATTGGATATACATTATTTTGGCATAATGCTTTGATGTTGTGGTTGCTTTTCTGTACTATTATAGTAGCGCGGTCACAGGTAGCTCCATATACTTTATAGTCCACATCACTTGGGAAATATATATATTTTTAGAAGTTTCCAAACATCAAATGTCCCAACATTGTTGATGCTTTTAGTATTCGTTATAACTTTTTTCTAGCTATGTATCCATGTAATTAACCATAAGGTTCACTCATTTTGTAAAAGTTGCCCTATTGCTATGCATGCTTAACTTTATATCCTGCAGAGTGCAGGCCATATTGGCATTCTTCTCTTTTCCTATACAAGTATACAGTATTCATGCGATTAGCATTTTTTTTTTTTTGGAATTGCAAGTTGAATATAAAGACTTCATTGTCATTTGTATGAGGTGACGCTGTATATTATCATAGACTTGTAGTTATACTTGTCACTTATCAGTCAGTGAAACCATTAGATTGATTTCAGATTGTAAAATCTGCTAGATCAATAACTGTTCACCTGACTCAATTTCATAAACCCTTTTTGCTACACTCGACAAATGTTTCTCATGTCCTTTAGATGGATGAAAGTAGCAACGTCCTTCAGTTCTGACATTTTCAAATGACTAGAGAATAATTGGTGATCTTGCTTTGGCATTTGGTACAATACATTTTTGTGAACAAGAAACCATTATGATGCTGATACTTCAGCAGATTTTATCAATGCATGCCTTTTTTAACTTGTACATGTTTAGCCATCTATGTATCCTTCTCTTATTAGTTTTGTTGTCACAGGGAAATGGCTCTAGCTGGTCTAAATCTTATGAATGATGGGAGGCAATCATCTGCAGGGTCTGGTGATTTCAGCTATCCTGATGTAAAGGAGATGATAAATTATATCTGCTGTCAGCGACCTCAGTTGCTGCATTCTGATGAGCAGAGAAATGGAAAATTACTTTTCCCTTCAAAAACATTTGTTTCAATGATCAAGTTTCTGATGAAGTGCTTTGAGTCTAGTGATAGCTCAAATCTTTTGCAAGATCCATCTGATTCTGCTGTAGCAAAAATGTGTGTCATCTTAGAACATGCCATGTCATATGAAGGGTCTAGCGAACTGCATGCGCTGGCCTTGAAGTCATTGGTTGACCTTTCTTCTCGTGAGCCAAAGGTTTCCATTTGGTGCCGTTTATTAAAATAAACTTCATGTTTTCCTTTTCCTCAGATTTTTTTTTAAACTTGCACTTTATACTTGCAGTTGGTGTCATTGCGGTATGCAGAACGCATAAATTGGCTAAGAACTCTTTTTGGGTCATGTTGATTCTGATGCTCGTGAAGCTGCGTCCACGCCTGCTTGGTATTGCTTCTTCAGCTCTTTCAACCTCTTCTGCACCAAGTCTTCTGTCTGAGCTCACTTCAACACTGAGTCAAAACCGTTCATCAAGGTATGAAAAATGAAAACTTTAAGACTGACATGTCCTTTGTGTTGCCACACAACTTCTGATTCATGTGACTATTTGATGAATTTGGCCAGATTTGAAAATTACCATGGAGTTCTGTGTGCGATCGGGTACCTAACAGCTGGTGCTTTGAAGCAATCTTATGTACGCTCATTTTATTCATCTCCTAACTTTGTAGCTTGTTTACTGATTTCATTCTCTGATGTGTCTTTATCTGAAATTTGGCATGGTCTCTTAGATTGCTCTGCCTTGAAACTGCATCTTGAATATACTTATCATATTTGCTAGAGTGACTTGATATTGATACTGTTAGAATTATGGTCCATGAGAACCTGTATGTTACTCTGGTATTAGTAGTTGGAGAGAGAAATCGAGTAACATGTGGTAGAATGTATGTTTATCTAATATGGGGAAGGAAGAGAGTAACACTTTTCTTATTACAAGTCAAAATACTTTATATTGGGAGATTAAAAGGAAGTACGAAGAACACATTTCTGATTTATTTGTGTCACATCAATATTTGATTATTTTCTCAAAACAATAGAAGTACAGAACATTGCTAGATTTCTTTTTTAAAAAATTACTCTCATATTCTTCATCTACACTTTGTTGAGCATCAATGCTTGGTTGTGCAAGTCAATAGATAGCTTTGCTAAACATTACTTCCTCCTTTCCAAATTATAAGACGTTTTGGCTTTTCTAGATTCTAGATACATTGTTTTTGATATGTATTTAGACATAGTGTATAGCAAAGCTACATATTTAGGAAAGCCAAAACGTCTTATAATTTGGAATGGAGGGAGTATTGCACTCCTAGAAAGGGTTGTTGGAATCCCGCTGGTCTGCACAGGTGAGCAGCAGCTCACTCACACACACACACACACACACACACACACTTTGGGCTGGTGGTAGAAGAAGAAGTTGAGCACAGCACACTCACGCACAGCAAGTGCAGCAACTGAACTGAACTAGGACTGCTGCTGCACTACACTTGCTTGCAGACGTTTCTGGACAGCAGCAGATTATCTTACAAGGGTGGCCTATTAGTGTTGGAAGCAAGGGCTATAACTGCACAACTGTAGAAGAAATATCTGCACCATTACCCCACAAGTAACTAGCCCCTAGCGTCAGTGAGCCAAAACTATAACTTTTTTTTTCTTTGAACATGCCGGAGAGCTGCATAAAATTATATTAAGAAGAGAGAAGGAGTTTGAATTTTGGAGAAATCTTAACACACACCCACTCACTCCTAGGCTTATGAAAACAGATGCGCTAGTGCTAGATTGGAGCCAAAACTATAACTGGACCTGTCTGATAGATGTCTAATTTTTATGTTTTGGATACTTGTGCCCACTTCACAAGTTTGACTGCCTATGATGCAATTAATTTGGCTGCCATCATGTGGCTTAGAAAACTTTCTTCCTAACACATTATTTTTATGAATGCAACTAATTTGTATGTTTTTCACTTGAAGTTTTTTAATTTTGTTGTATTTGGAGTGCATATGCAGATATCTGAGGATATGGTAAAAAATGTAGTTGATATTCTTGTAAAAGTAGTTATCTCTGAAGGTTCGACATTAGCATCTGTTGCAATGGAATCTCTTGGTCACATTGGTCTGCGTTGTGCATTGCCTTCCATCAACCAAAACTCTTCTACAGGTTAAACTTGTTAATCAAACCTATACTGCTTATGAGTTGTGCTATTCACCATCTATGATGCTATTTATTTTAATTATTTTTGCCTTCAGGTACACTATTAAGCGTTCTCCGTGAGAGGCTGACTAAGCTTCTTTCTGAAAATGATACTAAAGCTCAACAGAAAATTCTTGTATCATTGGGGCACATATCTTGGAATGAGATGTCCTTTCCTCACCTGAATGATGCATTAGACTTGATTTTTAGCCTTTCACGTTCTAAGGTAGTGGCACAAAAATCCAAACTTTGCAGCTAAAATATTACCACTATTCTTTGGAATAAATAATAACATTCTTAAATTATGCTTGTTCAGGTGGAAGATGTACTTTTTGCTGCGGGGGAGGCTTTATCTTTCATATGGGGAGAAGTTCCTGTGACAGCAGATGTGATACTGGAGACGAACTTTGTTTCCCTTTCCCAGGCCACAAACTATCTTACCGGTGATGCATCTCTAGTCTCGAGTAACTCCTATGAAAAAAGTGCTTGTGAAGAAGCACACTCAGTTGCACGAGACGAAATTATTAAAAAGTTGTTCGAAACACTAATTTATAGCAGTAGAAAAGAAGAACGCTGTGCAGGTACTGTCTGGTTGGTCTCACTGACGATGTACTGTGGCCGACATAAAAAAATCCTAGAACTACTTCCGCAAATCCAGGTTTGTCAACCAAGAATAAGATACCTAGATTATTAAGGTGACCTTTGTACATTTTTAAACTTTCTCTAAACTGTCTCAGTGCATTAGAATCTGTAATCATTATACTGTGATGTCCATATGGTATTTTAGTGCCAGTAATCTACAGTGATTTAGGCATGGAAGCTAACTTTGAGTAGAAGTACATTAGATGTGTACCCCACTTAAAAACTGAACTAGCTTTCGATTCATTTTGGGAGTTCTTACTAGGGTTTATGTGCCAATCTATGACTGTATTTCAAATTTGCGCTTTCGTGTGGTGCCAAAAAATAGACATAGGGTATCTCACCTTTTGATTGAAGTGAGCTGAACTGCTTATGCATATACTGGTGAAATATACTTCTTTTCTTCAGCTAGCACAGTTGTTGCTTGGAGGATATAGGTCACCTTTAGTTTTAGTTTAGTCTAATATTTGATTGCTTTATTTGTTCAGATAGTCATTTAATGTTCCCACCAGAGTTCTTCCTTCTTTATTGACAAATGTAAATTTCATTTCTTTGTTGTTTCTGCTATTCACGTGCCTGAACCTTGATTGCTTCTGCTGGGTTTCAGCTCTAGCCTACCCCAACTTGTTTGGGACTTAAAGGCTTTGTTGTTGTTGTGTTGTTGTTGTTGTAAATTTCATTTCTTTCGCAGGAAGCCCTTTCACATCTTCTTGGTGATCCAAATGAGCTTACGCAAGATTTGGCATCTCAAGGCATGAGTATTGTGTATGAGCTTGGTGATGCATCTATGAAAGAGGAGCTGGTTCATGCTCTGGTGAACACACTGACTGGCGCTGCAAGAAAGAAAAAAGCCATTAAGGTTCATGATTTTTCTCAATTATATATTTTTTCCTTAGTTGATAATGTTTCATCCGAAGGTAATTATGTTTTATGCACTTGCATTAGTTGATGGAGGATTCCGAGGTCTTTCAAGAAGGCACAATTGGCAATAATCCTACTGGAGGGAAACTTAGCACGTACAAGGAGCTGTGCAGTCTTGCCAATGAGATGGGGCAACCTGACCTGATATACAAGTTCATGGATCTAGCTAATTATCAGGCTGCTCTCAATTCTAAAAGGGGTGCTGCTTTTGGATTTTCCAAGATAGCCAAACAAGCTGGCGAGGCACTTCAACCTTATCTGCATACCTTAATTCCTAGGCTTGTCCGTTATCAACACGACCCCGATAAAAACATCCAGGTATCTAAGTTTGCACACTCATCACCATATGTGCCATTTTCTATGTTTCCTTTTTATTGGACTGAAATTAAACTATTTGGTTGACAAATGTACTCTTGTAAAACTACTTATAACCATGTAATATAGTCAGTATGATGTTGCCATTCTTTTCATATGAGAAAGTAAGAAGCTGATGTGCTAAGCAAGTAATGCATCAAACAGCTCGACTAGTTAAGCATAACTTGACATTGATTTCCTTAGTTTAGTACATTTAAGTTATGCTGGTTTATTAAGGCACTATGATGACTTTCAGCATTATAACTAAACACTCTGTTTCCACATTGTGTTTATGCTATACTGTTGTATACTTTTCTATCCTGTAATCAGATTGCAGATAAGATTTCCTCATGTTTTTCTTGTTGTTGAGAAAATTTATATTAAATTTATTTAAACACTGCATGAATTTTGCATTATAACTCATTGAGATTAGCTTTATACCACAATAATAGTTTCCTAGTAGTCAATGTACTCCCATGCACAATCATAGTTCCAGAAATCATTATTTTCAAGCATCCTTTACTGTGAGTAGCAAGGTTTTGGTATAATGAACATCCATGCAACTAGTGCTTGAAATTAAGTAAAACGTGGCCTTGGAACTCAGATCAGAAAAATAGATCAAACATATCTACTGATGAGTAACTGATATACATGTCAGCAGTCCTCTTATCCTTAAGAGGGTCCCTCTCAGCAATCAGTTATTGCACTGTTTTCTGGTTGTCATTGATATACATCAATAGGTTATCTTATTGCATTCATATTTCTTAATAAGCTCATAGAGCCTTTCCTCAGAGCTAATAGTTCCAGCTGCACCTTTTAGGATTCAATGGTACACATCTGGAAGTTAATTGTTTCAGATCCGAAAAAAGCAATAGATGAACATTATGATGCCATAGTAGAGGATCTATTGGTTCAATCTGGATCGAGGCTTTGGCGCTCACGAGAAGCATCCTGTCTTGCACTTGCAGACATCATTCAAGGTCGAAGATATAATCAGGTAACATTCATGGTGTTATGGAAATTCTGAATAGCTCAATATTTCATTTGACATGAGCTATATTAAAGTGTTTGTATGAATCTGACTTTGAATTTCTTTTCAGAACAATTACAACTCACCTTTTTATTTGTTCTTTAGGTTTGTAAACATTTGAGAAAAATATGGACAACCACCTTCCGTGCAATGGATGACATAAAGGAAACTGTGCGAACTGCTGGTGACAGTTTGTGCCGAGCTGTAAGCTCATTGACAATTAGGCTCTGTGATATATCACTAACTTCTACTTCTGATGCAAACGAAACAATGAACATTGTGCTGCCATACTTGCTTTCTGAGGGCATACTCAGTAAAGTTCCAAGTGTTCAAAAAGCTGCTATTAGTTTGGTCATGAAGCTTGCTAAGGTATATTGATGGTAAACTTTAACAAGTTTAGTTGCAATATCTGCCATAATGAGTTATATTGAAACCATGCGATATTTCACCAAATTCGATGAATTTTTTCTCTGACAATTGTGTTTCAACTCTAACATACTGACCACTGAGTGAACAATAGATCATAGAACTTTATCTCTATTCATATCCTAATCAAACATTGAAGTTCCTCAAGGTGGTATCGAAGAGAAACTTTCTATTACCTCTACTTTCTAAGCAATTTCATATGTTTATTCCACTTGAACTTATATAAATTGCAATTTCTCCAGTTCCTTGTTTGGATGCCAATAGCCTAATGCAGCATTAGCCTTGTTATATGAACATTATTTGAAAACACGAACAGGATTGTCATTTTTATGTGGTTGGCACTTGGCCGAATGCCTCAAGAGTATTCTAACTTCTTTCTTAAAGTAAAGGAACAGAATTCCTAGAATTTGTTAAGTAATGTTACGAAAGGAAACGAATCAAAAGGAAAGAAACATGAAAGGTTCTTATTACTACGGGCAAAATAAAATTACTACCTTGCCTATGCACAGACTACAGCTTCTAGTTCCTCTGCTTATGTAGATGCCATCACCAAAATAATTAACTAAAGAGATGTCTTAAGCTCATGGCTTCCTGATGTCTTCAGGGTGCTGGTCCTGCCCTTCGTCCTCATCTGCCGGAACTTGTTAGCTGTATGCTTGAATGTTTGTCAAGTCTGGAGGATCAAAGGTTGAATTATGTTGAGGTATGCTAATTTCCCCCACTTCTATAAGGACTGATGATGATGATGTTGCACGTGTATATCTGACAGATGCGATATTTTACTCTCTCCTGCCTTTGGATCAAAGATGCATGCAGGGAATGTTGGCATCAGAACTGATAAGCTTGAAAGCTTGCGTATAGCTGTGGCTAAAGATTCTCCAATGTGGGAAACTCTTGATATCTGTATAAAAATTGTTGATAAGAATTCACTTGATCTATTGGTTCCTCGCTTGGCTCAAATGGTTAGATCAGCTGTTGGCTTAAATACAAGGTTAGGATTGCCTGTACAATCTTATTCATTATATCCTCAAATGCTTCATTTCTTACTACTTCAATGTTCCTTTCTGTCTGATTCCAGGGTTGGTGTTGCTAGCTTCATAACCTTGTTGGTGCAGAGGGTCATGGTTGACATCAAACCATTCACAACAATATTACTGAAGTTATTGTATAGTGCTGTTCTGGAGGAAAGGAGTTCTGCCGCTAAAAAGGCTTTCGCGTCCTCTTGTGCAACTGTTTTGAAATACGCTAGTCTTCCCCAGGCTCAGAAGCTTATTGAAGATACTACCTCTCTGCATTCAGGTGGGAAAAACGATCAGTTATCTGGTGCAATTCTTATTAAAGCCTACTTGAGCAATGCAGCGGATATTCTTGGTGGATATAATGCGGTGGTTATCCCTGTAATTTTTGTGTCGAGGTATGTGAAGGACACATTTATCTACCTTGCATTTTCTTGACTCCTAGTATTTCAAATATTCATAATGCCTTCAGTTTAGTTGAAATACAGAAACCTTTCCATGTGTATAAACAAAACTTTGTTTCAGGTTTGATGATGATAAAGACACCAGTGCTTTATATGAAGAACTTTGGGAGGATATTCCTACTAGTGAAAGAGTAACCCTAACACTATATTTACCAGAAATTGTATCTCTTTTATGTGATGGCATGTCATTGTCATCATGGGCTGGTAAAAGAAAGGTACAGTCCTATTTCATAATTTGCTTGTCCATATGCATATCAGATAATAATAGTTAAAAGTCCTGTACCTTGTAATATACTTACTGTACAGCCTTCTCCTTCCAGTCAGCCAAGGCTATAAAGAAGCTATGTGATATTCTTGGAGAACCCCTATCAGCACACTACCAGAATATTCTCAAATCACTTTTGAAAGAATTGCCAGGTCGATTCTGGGAGGTAATTCACACTATCATTCATTTGTTCATGGAATGATAAGTGGATTATCTGCTTATACATTGTTTTGGAAATTTATCCATGTCTTGGTTGTTGGTACATAATTAATTTTGTTCCCTTACATTTTTCAACAGGGAAAAGATGCTATTCTGGACGCATTGGCTTCATTGTGTTCTTGCTGTCATGTTGCTATAACTGCAGAAGACTCCAGCTTGCCAAGTGTTATACTAAATGCTGTGTGTGCTGCGTGCAGTAGGAAATCAAAATTGTACCGGGAAGCAGCTTTCTTGTGTCTACACAAAGTATTTTTCTTCAATTCTCATTTACTTTTCGGAACCCGTTTTCACTAGCAGATGCTGTAGTGTTATTTTTTGTTGGCCAGCGTTTTCTTTAGTGGACCAAAATTTTCTTTAATAAAACAAATTTTAACTGTTGCAGAAATGTACCTTTTAGCATCATGCTAAAGATTTACTAGATTTTTTCTTGAGGGTGTTAACTTAAGGTTTGCAATGATATAGCCTTTTAGATACTATTTCAAAATTTTAGAATTGGTACCATTTACCTAGGGTTATTCTTTTTCATCATTTTTCAGGTGATTGCGGCATTCAGAGATCCAGGATTTTTCAATAGTGTGTTTCCAATGTTGTACGAGGTTTCTAACCAATCTGTCATTTCGAAGACAAAAGGCTCTGCTGGTGCGGGTGAGTCATTATTTTGAATATTTCATTCAGTTAATGACTATTCTTAACAAAACCTTTTGTAATTGAATACAAGAATATCTGATGCTCTCTTTTATATGTATAGCTATTTTGTAGGATAACATATTTTTTAGTTCTGAGGACCTTTTCAAGAATAGCTTGAAGCTTGATGAGGCACTTCCAGAATAATATATTGATACCCTTCGTGTAGCAACATTTCATTTACAGAGAGGCTTAGGATATAATTTTCAAATTTTGCTCTAGTATGGAATATGATCATTCTAATTTGCCAAATTTGTTATCACTGATTGTCTTTCTGAATCAATAAGTGAAGCCTCAACTAATCCTGACTTGATCTTACTGCTATGCAATCATCTTATATAATCTATCTCTATTGTATCTCCAAATACTTCTTTCACTCCTTTAAAATTTATGTATGGGTTATTTTCTGCAGAACTAGATGAAAGTGAAAGTGCTTCTATTTCTCTGGATAAAGTGCTCAATTGTGCAACATCTTGCATCAGTGTCGCTTTTCCACAGGATATTATCAACCAAAAGAAGAATGTTTTAGAACTAATATTGAATTCTCTCTCACCTGAGGAGAGTTGGCAAGGTATGATATTTGGGATCCGTAATATAATTCTAAACATCTTTTGGATGCTTCTGTCTCATGGTTGCAAATCATCATAGTAACGCTCATATTATTTTTTTCATGAACAGTTAAACTATCATCCTTCTTGTGTATCAAAGAGTTGTGCCTGAAATTTCACAGTTCTGGTGATAGTAGCACATGGCCTCAAGACACAGCTTGCTTGGTTCAGGAGGTATATCCTGTAGTTTGTTTGTCTCTATATTCAGCTTCAGGTTGCCGTTGGTTTTCATTGCTTCTGACATATCTTTTCTGTTTAATTTTTTCAGTTATTTCATTTGGTATCACCAAAATTAGTAGACTCCATAAGATTAGTAAAGATTGCTCAGGTAATTTTCTCTATGTCTAGTCCTCCCTAGCTGATGTTGAAATATATTTGCCTATTTTTTGTTACCATCTCATAACACCTTTACCCGTAGATAATACGTTGTCTTCCTGCTAATGGATAATAATTAACACTCACTTTAATTTAAAATATGTGCCTATAACATGTCTTTTTTTATGGAATAAAGCATGTAAACATTGTAATATTGCACTTGACAGTTTAAAGCATGGTTTAATAGCATTGCCCCTTGATTTAGCAGTGTGTATACTTGTCTATGATTCCATTAATGATGATAAGAAAAGTTGCTGTTTTCTGTCAAATTTAGTTGTCATGTGTCAAACAAGATTATGTTTTCAGATAAATCACTCAGGTGACCATTATTGGAAAACTGCATAAGTGCTTTATGTAAGGAGCAAGATTATGTTTTCAGATAAATCACTCAGGTGACCATTAGGGTCCACTCTATTTCTTTAAGATTCAAATACGCATTTGTCTCATTGTTTAACTACCTTTTTTAATCTGCTCAGTTCTTAATTAAATGCCCCTGGCATATAATAAATCATGGAGGCTGGCAGATCTTAATTAATTAGCCCTGACATGTAATAAATCATGGATGCTAAGTTAGTTTGGTTTTCCTGTTCGCTGGTCAGATGTCATGGCTGCTACCAGTGAAATTACTGGAATAAGTGCTGGCCAACAGAACCCTAGTGTTCCTGTTTCACAATACTAAAATCATTCATTCTCATACAAACGAATGGTGCAAAGGTTGTCTGGAATTGCCATAAGTAGTCCACAATATGAGGTTACATCCATGTAAATACTAATAGTAAAACAGACCCATGGCTGTTTCTTAACCAGTGGTTTTAGAAGCCTGTTGTTGAGTTTGCCATTAGCCTTTAGTATCCAGACCAAACCTTATTCCTCATGAGTCACGAGTTATCACCTATTTGCAGGTTCACATTGCTGCATCGGAGTGCCTTCTTGATTTGAGCAAACTGTACAGAGACTTCCCATTGTTGGACAGAACAGAGGCCACGTTCGAGGATGAACTTACAGAGCTCTGCGAGTCTGAAAAAAGTGAACAAGCAAAGGCAATTCTGAAGGAATGCCTGGCCATTCTTAAAACTCTCCCTGGAGTAACCATGACGACGGATTAAAAACCAGCACAGGGAACATGTAAAGTTCCCGTGGTGATTGTAAATTGATTCCGATATATGCATATAGTACAGAATATATGGCGAAGTTCTCCCTCCATTTTATGTCAGGGCAGGGCAAGAATAGGCACATGCTTCGATTAGTTTGCTCATTTGTTGCCTAGATCCTTAGCTGTGATATTCTGATACATGTGCGTGTAAGAAACACGAGATTGTCAGGCAGCAATAAACTGTTGCTGCAGCATTTCGCAGTTGTGCCGTCCATCCAATATAGAATAACGGTAAGGTACCAAAGATCAGATTTTTGAAAATTTTACTTCCCGTCGGCACAAAACCAGCGAGGCCCCCATATTGCAACTGGTGAAGTATGTAGACTGTTCCAAAACTTTATCAGTGCATTTTGTTCCGTATACTCGTTTCTGCAAACACAATTTGCGTCCAGGAAAACGCGGATTATTCAGAATCATCCAACGGCAGGTACAAATAGGGGTGTAGCCAGTGTAGAGAGCTTTCGCTCTGTGCGGGATTTGGGGAAGGATGTCAGTGGCAAGCCTTACCCTCGTCTGTGCAATACGAGGAGATCGCGACTCGAACCCGAGATCTTTTTGTCACAGGCGGTAAGACTCTACCGCTTGCACCAGGTCTGTCCTTCCAACGGCAGGTACAAATGTGTGAATCAAATGTTTTTAGAGTATGTTCACCAAATTGCAAACTAAAGTAAAACTTTAGGACGTTCATATGACTCGTCTGTATATATAAGTAAAAAAAAAACGTGGGATAACACAAACTGATACATTTCTCTTCGGAGTGCTTGAAAAAGGTTTTCAGGGACTCAGGTGGTTAGCTTGCGCAGAGCAGTCGCAGTCTTGGAACCCAGTGGCCTGCCCAATTCCTTGGAAATGTAATCACAAGCCTCCATGAGCTTGTTGAGGTCAACGTTGGTCTTTATAGCCAGGCAAACAGGAAAAATACACCCTAATTAATTACTCCTTGTATGCTAAATCCTGTCTAAAATGACTTTATTTTTTAGTATGGAGGGAATAATATTTCAAACAAATCTGAGCCATTGATTTTTAAAATTTTTAAATTAATTAATTGATTAATTAATATGAGAAAAGAAAAAAAATGTTCTCAAATCCCCCTTATCACGGCATGCATAAGTGGACGTGCAGCTATAAAATCCCCCTCATCACGGCATGCACAAGTGGACGTGAAGCCATTGATTTCTCAAACTCTCCCAACTCTATTAATTATGTATAATACAACTATCACTCCAATTGTACGATGCATATGAATCTGCATTTTTTTTTTTAAAATGTTCATTTTGCATACAGTGTGATGCTAACGTACATGTTTTTTCTTTAAAAGTGATCAAAAACTTTTGGCAGATACATAGTCACATTAAAGCTGTACACCAATCACGTTATATAATCAATTAAAAAAACTCTTATATGTGCTGTCACGTATGTAGATTTAGGAATAAGAACTTACATACAAGCATAAAAAATGGTCACGGTCATGTACGCACATGGATTTGGCAACGAGACATTTACGGTCACGTATACGTGATTCGAGAATGAAATTACATGCACGAAATAATGCTCACGGCAGCTATGGCTAATTAAATTATTCCATGTCTAAAGTTACAAAATAAAAAAGGGATTTGCTAAATTTCAGGTGCCTGAATTTTAGTTTTTTTCAGGCGATGGTTATTGCGTATATTTTATACTAAAATTGCAGTTTTAGTTCTTTGCAATTTCTGTAGACACAATCTGTGATTTTTGGTTCCGAGAATGAAAAACCTGCTAGACAAAACCACAAACGTGACAAAATTTGATATGTGTTGGCACAAGATAATTCAACAATTTACAATTATTTCTATAGTCAGACAAGGACAAAAATTTAATATGACACAAAGACAAATAATAAATCACAAAAGTAATAATTTACCTGTACTAATTGGTAGTACAAGAGTGTTGTCTGAAATCATCTTAAAATTTAGGCACCTGAAATATATGAGAAGTGATAAAAAAATTACTATATCTAATATATCACACATGCATCAATTAGATCTAGAAAATAAATTTTGTATCTAAAACTTTCCTTATGTATTCTATTTTACCAAATTTAAAATCAAATAAATATATATTTCATCTATTATCTCCTAGGAAGTAATAGATGATTCTAACCGTATGATCTAATTAAATGAACGGCTCATAATCAATAGAGGGTACCATAGCAAAGCCCACCTGTGTTTGGCAGTTTAGAAATCAGAACTCACTGGTGTTATGGTTTCGGAGGAGCTTAAGGAGCCTCCTGCCGAGCTGCCAGGCGTAAATGGGTCGGTCTGTCTCCTTGTTTGCTGTTGAACTTTTTGAATCTGGCAATGGGCTTTCCTAGTTAAGTTAAGCCTTGGTTTTCTTTGTCTTTTGGTCTGTGGATATCTTTAGGGCATGTACAGTCCACGGACAGCACGGCATGTTGTCGGTAAGTTTTTGAAATCCACGCATATATAGCTAAATAGATAGATCATATAATGGTTCGTCTATTTCACTGTCTACAAGTTGTTTAATAGTTGCATGTAGTCACGATCAAGTATGAATATGATCCTTGTACATCGGTTTGTTGTTAGTTGATACAAAATAAATCAAGCATAATTAAGTTAAATATGATTATAATATTTTTTAGACTAGTAATTCTGGCACCATGATCAAACATAAATATTATAGACAAAGCATCATTATAAATAGTATATTAATATATTTATATAAAAATTCACACTGATACGAATAACAAACAATTTCTATAAAAATATACCGAAGGCTACAAAAACAAAATATATAACAAATATTCAAAGTGTAACATATGTTTTTATCACTTCTAGAATATAATCTGATCAAAAGGAACCTAAATAAACTTGAATCATGATTTTTGGATTTGATTTCGATTTTAAATGGATTTTATAAGGTTGAACCCATTTGCACATTCTTCAGATAAGGGAAGAAGCTAATAAGGATTTCACGGACGTAGCGTGCACACGGGATCAACGCGTGCAGGTCGATTTCTCGGAGCACGGGCCGGAGCCGTCGACCAGTGAGAGGACAATCCTGCCTCGGCTGTTGCGCGTGAAGGGGCTCTTTGCAAATGCTCTGTCATACAGACGGCTCATTAAACAGCGTTGTACGTGCCCTTATATATACTGCATTTATCTTGAAAAGAACGCAATACGTGTCACGAAAAGTGGTTCACGTTTGATTAAGTTTTTAGTGAATAATATTTATAGTTATATATTTAAATTAATTTATTATAAAAACATATTTCGTAATTAATCTGATGGTATTTATTTGGTATCGTAAATATAGATACTTTTTTTATTTATAATTGGTGTACTAAAACGTGACACTGTACTATAATTATATTCTTTTGAGGACGAAAGTAGTATATAGGAAATACGAAAAAGGTTATTTGTCTAGAAAAAGGCTGGCCGAGTAAGAACAGCGATGCTCTATCTCTATGTATTACTATATTGCAGCGATCTTGAAAGGAAGGGGAAAAATACATTGGTGTGTGTTGAAGCAGAGGTACGGTATGGTGATCTATTTGTGGATGCTGCTCATGTACGTATAGGGCTTCGACGATAATACTATTTGTGTCTGCAGTCGGGTTGGATCAATGCCGGGTAGAGACTAGACCCAGCAATGACCCGCATCCTATCCCTGCCGAGTGCCCGAGTCTAGCCTTGACCTGACAGTGGTATCTTCCTATCACTACTGGGTTTTGGAACCGTTAGTGATAGGCAAGCCCAACACTATCAATTACCCGTTGCCTAGTGTGATTGCGAAAGTGGTGCCGGGTTTGCACCTAGCAGCGATCCACGGATCTGAGCTAGTGAAATATGAGATGGCAATATTCGTCCACATCTGATATGATTTTAACGGACAAATTATTCCATGTATTTATCTATTCTATCATACTGTGTTAATGAAATTATTTTTTCAAGAGAACCCAACCCGTTAACTGCCGGTCTATGTATTAATAGAGAAGATGAAAATACAATAATAAACACCGTACCATTATTACATCACAATGACCACCAACACCAACACCAACACCAACACAAAACCCCGAACATAAACACAAAAACTACCACAACAACTTCCAACCCTGCACCAAACGTCCAAACCTGTAGCAACAACCATTGTGGGAAGGAGTTCTCTAATTAAAGTGATGCCTCCATGGAGGATACGTCATCCTCGGACACCGCCAATGCCAAACAGAAAATCTGTGCACGGTTTTTCAACCGAGAGCCCTCGAGCAAGAGAGAGAGAGACTTCACAACAAGCCTCCAATGAGGAAAGAGGCGTCAAAGACGTCTCCAATCAGCTTCAGCATGGCAATCACATATATATGGAATTACTTTTGAAACTTATCCTGCCTGTACACACTGTATATGAAACTGAAGATACAATTATTATATATATACATGGGATGAACGATGGCCGCGCGACCCTTGCCCGCTAATTTAAGGCTAGCTAGACAATGGCACATACGACATGCATGTACATGGGGCACAGCTCAAGCATCAGGGTCTGGAATGAAAGGACCAAGGACATACATGAGAGCGAGAAGATGCGTGATGAACTCCCCACCAGTGCTTAGATGCTCATAGTGGAAAGCCGCTCCACACCGAGGCGCGGTGTAGTATGCCATCTCTGCCCACACCGAAGCGATAAGCTCCCAGCGCTCTGTTTCATCGCTGATGCTAATGAGCTCCTGGGCCAACTCACTTGCACGCGGCAGCAGCTAGAAACAGTGCGCTCTGCAGGAATTTCTGCACGCGTGATCTTGTCAGTTCTTGATGCTGTTCCTGCTGGTTCTTCGTTCTGTCGAAAAGCTTCCTAACAAAGTCATTGATCTCTATCTTCTTCTCGCCAGCTAAGGTTGCCCTAATCGCGTATTGATCTATGTCATGTACTAACTGGGACTTGGTAGTGAGCATCACA